CATAGGGAAGCCCATCAGACTCACAGCAGATCTCTTGGCAGAAACACTACAAGCCAGAAGAGAGTGGGGGCCAATATTCAACATTCTTAAAGAAAAGAACTTTCAATCCAGAATTTCATATCCAGCCAAACTGAGCTTCAGAAGTGAAGGAAAAATAAAATCATTTGCGAACAAGCAAGTACTCAGAGATTTTGTCACCACCAGGCCTGCTTTACAAGAGCTCCTAAAAGAGGCACTACACATAGAAAGGAACAACCAGTACCAGCCATTCCAAAATCACACTAAAAGCTAAAGAGCATCAACATAATGAAGAATCTACAACAACTAACAGGCAAAACAGCCACTTAGCATCAAAATGGCAGTATCAAATTCACACATAACAATATTAACCCTAAATGTAAATGGACTAAATGCACCAATCAAAAGACACAGACTGGCAAATTGGATAAAAATCCAAAACCCATCAGTGTGCTGTATCCAGGAAACCCATCTCACATGCAAGGATACACAAAGGCTCAAAATAAAGGGATGGAGGAAGATTTACCAAGCAAATGGAGAGCAAAAAAAAGCAGGAGTTGCAATTCTCATCTCTGATAAAATAGACTTTAAAGCAACAAAGATCAAAAGAGACAAAGAAGGCCATTACATAATGGTAAAAGGATCGATAAAACAAGAAGAGCTAACGATCCTAAACATATATGGACCCAATGCAGGAGCACCCAGATACATAAGGCAAGTTCTTAATGACTTACAAAGAGACTTAGACTCCCACACAATAATAGTGGGAGACTTTAACACTCCACTGTCAATCCTAGACAGATCAACCAGACAGAAAATCAACAAGGATATCCAGGGCTTTCACTCAGACCTGGAACAAGCAAACCTGATAGACATTTACAGAACTCTCCACCCCAAATCCACAGAATATACATTCTTCTTAGCACCACATCACACCTACTCTAAAATTGACCACATAATTGGAAGTAAAGCACTGCTCAACAAATGCAAAACAACTGAAATCATAACAAACAGCCTCTCAGACCATAGTGCAATCAAGTTAGAACTCAGAATACAGAAACCAACCCAGAACCGCACAGCTTCATGGAAACTGAACAACTGGCTCTTGAATGTTGACTGGGTAAACAATGAAATGAAGTCAGAAATAAAGAAGTTCTTCGAAACCAATGAGAACGAAGACACAACATGCCAGAACCGCTGGGACACATTTAAAGCAGTCTCTAGAGGAAAGTATATAGCAATAAGTGCCCATATGAGGAGAATGGAGAGATCCAAAATTGACACCCTATCGTCAAAATTGAAAGAGCTAGAGGAGCAAGATCAAAAAAACTCAAAACCCAGCAGAAGACAAGAAATAACTAAGATCAGAGCTGAACTGAAGGAGATTGAGACACGAAAAACCCTTCAAAAAATCAATAAATCCAAGAGCTGGTTTTTTGAAAAGATCAACAAAATAGACAGACCACTGGCCAGATTGATAAAAAATAAAAGAGAGAACAACCAAATAGATGCAATAAAAAATGATAAAGGGGAAATCACCACAGATTCCACAGAAATTCAAACCATCATCAGAGAATATTACAAACAACTCTATGCACATAAACTAGTAAACCTGGAAGAAATGGATAAATTCCTGGACTCCTGTGTCCTCCCAAGCCTAAACCAGGAGGAAGCTGAAACTATAAATAGACCAATAACAAGGTCAGAAGTCGAGGCAGCAATTAAGAGCCTACCACACAAAAAAGCCCAGGTCCAGACGGGTTCACAGCCAAATTCTACCAGACACACAAAGAGGAGCTGATACCATTCCTTCTAAAACTATTTCAAACAATCCAAAAAGAGGAAATACTTCCCAAATCATTTTACGAGACCAACATCATCCTGATACCAAAACCCGGCAGAGACCCAACAAGAAAAGAAAACTTCAGGCCAATATCCATGATGAACATAGATGCAAAAATCTTCAATAAAATATTGGCAAGCCGAATGCAACAGCAAATCAAAAAACTTATTCACCATGATCAAGTAGGATTCATCCCGGGGATGCAAGGCTGGTTCAACATACGCAAGTCTATAAATGTAATTCACCACATAAACAGAACCAAAAACAAAAACCACATGATTATCTCAATTGATGCAGAGAAGGTATTTGACAAAATTCGACAGCCCTTTATGCTAAAAACCCTCAATAAAGTCGGTATCGATGGAACGTATCTCAAAGTAATAAAAGCTATTTATGACAAACCAACAGCCAATATCATACTGAATGGGCAAAAACTGGAAGCATTCCCTTTGAAATCTGGCACTAGACAAGGATGCCCTCTTTCACTACTCCTATTCAATATAGTTCTGGAAGTTCTAGCCAGAGCAATCAGGCAAGAAAAAGAAATAAAGGGTATTCAAATAGGAAAGGTGGAAGCCAAATTGTCTCTCTTTGCAGACGACATGATAGTATACCTAGAAGACCCCATCGCCTCAGCCCAAAAACTCCTGAAACTGATAAGCAACTTCAGCAAAGTCTCAGGATATAAAATCAATGTGCAAAAATCACAAGCATTCGTCTACACCAATAACAGACTTAAAGAAAGCCAAATCAAGAACGAACTGCCATTCACAATTGCTACAAAAAGAATAAAATACCTTGGAATACAACTCACAAGGAACATAAGGGACCTCTTCAAGGAGAACTACAAACCACTGCTCAACGAAATCAGAGAGGACACAAACAGCTGGAGAAACATTCCATGTTCATGGTTAGGAAGAATCAATATTGTGAAAATGGCCATACTGCCCAGAGTAATTTACAGAATCAATGCTATCCCCATCAAGCTACCATTGACTTTCTTCACAGAACTGGAAAAAACCACCATGAACTTCATATGGAACCAAAAGAGAGCCCGCATAGCCAAGTCAATTCTAAGCAAAAAGAACACAGTGGGAGGCATCACACTACTGGGTTTCAAACTATACTACAAGGCTACAGTAATCAAAACAGCATGGTACTGGTACCAAAACAGAGATATAGACCAATGGAACAAAACAGAGGCACCGGAGGCAACACAACATATCTACAACTATACAATCTTGGATAAACCTGACAAAAACAAGCAAGGGGGAAAGGATTCCCTGTTTAACAAATGGTGTTGGGAAAACTGGCTAGCCATGTGCAGAAAGCAGAAACTGGACCCCTTCCTGACACCTTACACTAAAATTAACTCCAGATGGATTAAAGACTTAAACATAAGACCTGGCATGATAAAAACCCTAGAAGGAAATCTAGGCAAAACTATCCAGGACATAGGAGTAGGCAAGGACTTCATGAACAAAACACCAAAAGCATTGGCAACAAAAGCCAAAATAGACAAATGGCACCTCATGAAACTCCACAGCTTCTGCACGGCAAAAGAAACAGTCACTAGAGTGGATTGGCAACCAACAGAATGGGAAAAAATTTTTGCAGTTTACAAAAAAATTTTGACAAAGGGCTGATATCCAGAATTTACAAAGAACTCAAACAGATTTACAGGAAAAAAACAAACAAGCCCATTCAAAAGTGGGCAAAGGATATGAACAGACACTTTACGAAAGAAGACATATATGAGGCCAACAATCATATGAAAAAATTCTCATCGTCACTGGTCATCAGAGAGATGCAAATCAAAACCACATTGAGATACCATCTCACGCCAGTTAGAATGGCGATCATTAAAAAATCTGGAGACAACAGATGCTGGAGAGGATGTGGAGAAAAAGGAACACTTTTACACTGTTGGTGGGAGTGTAAATTAGTTCAACCATTGTGGAAGACAGTGTGGCGATTCCTCAAGGCCTTAGAAATAGAAATTCCATTTGACCCAGCAATCCCATTACTGGGTATATATCCAAAAGACTATAAATCGTTCTACTATAAGGACACATGCACACGAATGTTCATTGCAGCACTGTTTACAATAGCAAAGACCTGGAATCAACCAAAATGCCCATTGATGATAGACTGGATTGGAAAAATGTGGCACATATACACCATGGAATATTATGCAGCAATCAGAAATGATGAGTTTGTGTCGTTTGTAGGGACATGGATGAATCTGGAGAATATCATCCTCAGCAAACTGACACAAGAACAGAAAATGAAACACCGCATATTCTCACTCATAGGCGGGTGATGAAAAATGAGAACACATGGACACAGAAAGGGGAGTACTAAACACTGGGGTCTATTGGGGGGGAAAGGGGAGGGCCAGTAGGAGGGGGAGGTGGGGAGGGATAGCCTGGGGAGAAATGCCAAATGTGGGTGAAGGGGAGAAGGAAAGAAAAGCACACTGCCATGTGTGTTCCTACGCAACTGTCTTACATGCTCTGCTCATGTACCCCAAAACCTAAAATCCAATAAAAAATTGAAAAAAAAAAAAAAGAAAAAAAAAAAAACCAGGTCTGGAAATTAATACCCATGGAATGCTGGTATCAGTGCAGAGTAGAGAAAGCTGTGATTTCTATCTGACATGAGAAGCAGCACAACAGATGGAGCAGAGGGGCTTCAGCCAGCTACTCATCCCCCTTTTACTCTCAACTCAAACACCACCCCTTCCAGAAAAGCCTTTCCTGCCTGTGGCCCTAACCAAGCTGGCAGGGCCCCGCCTCTGCTTCTCCCTTTGCACCTGTGTTGCAGCACTTCCCAGACCAGACTGAATGATTGGACTCACTCAGTGGATTGAGGGCTCCCTGAGGGCTGGAATCGGCTGACTCAGTGCAGTATCCCCAGCTCCCAGCACCCAGCACCAAGCCAAGCAATATCATGAGTCCTCAGCAAATAAAAAAAAAAAAAAGGTGGAATTTGAACTGGATTTTTAAAGGCAAGTAGGCTGTGGTAAGCAAAGGGGTGGGGAGGGGTACATGGCATATATAGAAATTCAACTCCAGGCAGAGGGACTATCTGAGTGAAGCCTGGGAGGCAGTCGTGCTTGTGACTTGCTGAATGGCTTCCAGCCAGGCTTCAGCTAACCTGAGCTAAATAAGGAAAGCTGGAGTGGGCAGATGGCCCGCTCACATGGCTGAGGCCTCAGTTCCTTACCACATGGACCTCTCTGTGGGGCTGCTTGAGTGTCTCAGTGACAGGGCAGCTGGTGTCCTCCAGAGCAAGTGATCCGAAAAAAGAGTAAGGCCACAGTGTCTTTTACGACCTAGCCTTGGAAGTCACACACTGTCACTTCTGCACAATTTTATGGTAACACATATCAATCCTGCTGCAGTGTGAAAGGGACATACAATGTGAGCACCCAAGGCAGGGATCACTGTGGGCTATCCTGGGAACTGGCCACAACGGAGGGAAAGATTAAATGATCGATTTTAAATAAGTCATATTTGAGACACCTGAGAGACATCCAAGTGTAAATGTCAAGCAGGCAACTGGAAATATGAGTCTGGAGCTCAGAAGAGAGGTCTGAGCTAAACATATAAATTTGGAAGTTATCAACATACCAAAGTATTTAAAGTTGTGGAAATGAGTATAATCACCTAATGAGAGTGTGGACAGGAGACAGAGCCGTAGCCTTTTGGAACTCCAACATTATTCTTTTCACTTTAAAGTTATAATTTAACCTAATTTCTTTAGTGATAAAAACTTTAAATAAAGAAAATTAGAGGGAAGGATACAAGAAACACATGTACCTACCATCTAGAACAACAAAGGTCAGCACTCTTTCTCATTTGTCTCACATATTTCCCTTTTCTTTTAAGCCCTTCTCCATCCAATTTCATGCTTTGACTCCTACATTTGTTCAATTTATTTTAATTTGTTAGCTTTTGCCAAATAACAAACTATCCCCAAAGACTTTGTGGTTTAAAATAGCAAGTATTTATATAGCTCACAATTCTGCAAGTCAACAATTTGTGCTAAGCTTAGGTGAGTTGTTCACCTGGTCTTGGCTGAGTTTATTCATGAGTCTGAGGCCAGCTGCTCAATTGGCTGGTTCCTGGATAACGTAGAATAACTTCTGCTGGGATGGCTCATCTCTATTCCATGTGATCTCTTGTCCTCCAGAAGGCTAGCTCAGGTCATTTCATATGTAGTGGGACAGGACTTCAAAAGAAAGAGCTGAGACATGCAATGCATGTTGAGGCTTAGACGGAGAATTTTTACCATCTCTCTGCTGCATTCTGTTGGCCAAAAATGTCAGGAGGTCAGTTCAGGTTTAAGGGGAGGAGAAATAGTCTCCATCTCTTGATGGGGGATGCTGCAAAGTCACAACTCAGAGTATGAAGTCAGGGAGGATGGAAAGATTGTGGCCAATTTTGTAATCTACCGCAGTTTACTCTCTGACCTTAATTATTCACATTCCTCCCACAGGAAAAATATGCTTACCACCATTCCAAGATACCCAAACACCTCCTGCAATTATGTCATCAGGCTTGAAGACTAGGATCTTGTGATCCACATCAGATTTGTATATGACATGGTGGAGACTGTTCTTCCTAATCCTGACACCTATGAATTAAAGACAACTTATTTGCCTCCCACACACCGACTGTACATTGAGAGAAAGGCAGGATAACCTCAATAGACACTTCCATTTAAAAAAGGGAAGAACAGCCAGGCATGGTTGTTCACACCTGCAATCCCAGCATTTTGGGAGGCCGAGGCAGGCAGATCACTTGAGGCCAGGAGTTTGAGACCAACCTACTAAAAATACAAAAATTAGCCAGGCCTGGGGCAGCACGCCTGTAGTCCTAGCTATTCAGGTGGCTGAGGCAGGAGAATCACTTGAGCCTGGGAAAGGGAGGTTGCAGTAAGCTGAGATGGTACCACTGCACTCCAGCCTGGGTGACAGGGCAAGACTCTGTTTCAAATAACAAAAACAAAACAAAGTAAAAAAGGGAAGAACAAGAGACACATAGTCATCCTTAAACACAGCAATTCTCAACTCCAGCTGGGCAAATGTTTACAAGTCTAAATATCCCAGGAGAGGGCGTATTTCTTAATCAGGTCTAGAATTTACTCCCTGGGAGGGGGTTCCTGCTCCACTGATCTCTGTGGCTCTTGACTATACCCTCTGGAACATACTTCCTTTTCTGTCACCTTCTTTGGCTACTTCTGAAGATGTGTGGTCCATGTTGGCAGCTGAGTAGCAATTTGAATAATTTCAGTCCCTTTTAATCCAGGCTGGTGGTACCTTCACACACACAACTCATTTAAAACTTTTGTGGGCTTTCTCTGTATCTGATAATAGCCTATTTCATACTCCAAATGACACAATTCTTTTATGACATCTCTCTAGATTTTATTACTGGTATTTTTGAATTGGGCTTCTGTGGGATCTCACTCATTTCCAAGAAGTTTTTTTGTCTACAGGTCGACTAGACATTACTTTAATTCTTGCAGAGGTCTTTATAAAGTGCCACTATGAAACATAGAATACTGTTTTTCCAGCCTCTAGTAATAATTTCCGTATCATTTTCCTGGACTTCACTCTGTTTGCTTGCCATCTTCCCAGTCTCCAACCATTCCCAATCTCAAAGCCAATGTCACGAATTTCAGGATTTTATTTTAAAGGCCTAACATCCCACTTTCAGACACCAATTTCTGTATCAGTCAACTTTTGCTGCAAAACGAACTACCCCAACATTTAGTGGCTTAAAACAGCAGCTGTTTCTATATCTCACTGTTGTGTGGGTCAGCAGTTTTGACCAAGGTCAGCCGGTATTTCTTCTGGTTTTGAATGAGTCCACTTATCTGTTAGTGGTCAGCTGCCAAGCTGACTGGGTGCTGGTTAATTTCAGATGGCTGCGGCTGGTTGGCTGAGCACTGCCACACATGATCTCTCATATCCCAGCAGGCTAGCTGTTCGCTGGGTGGCTGGGCGGAGCCCCAGAAGAGAGAGCCAAAGCATGCCAGGCCTCTGGACACTTAGGCTCAGAATTGGTGCACTGTTACTTCTGTTCCAATTTATCGGTGAAAGAAAATAATAAGAACTTCCCAGATTCAAGCAGAAGATACAGAGTCATACAGCAAAGGGTGTGGATATGGAGAGGAATAAGGACCATGGCTATTTTTACAATATACCACGCCTCCTCAGAAGCCACCCTCATCACAAAGTGGGAGGCCATCCTTCCCTTTCAAATTTTTATCTTTATGTGACATACATACATATCACAAATAGGTTTTCCCCTGTGAGTTCTATATGTTTCTAAATAAACTATTTCACACATACTAAATAATTTGTGTAGTATAAATGTAAGGTATAAAGAACAGGATGCTTTTGCACCTACCACCCAGAGAAAGAAATGCAATTTTACCAATATATTTTAAACTCCCTGTATGCCCCTTCCAAGCTAATATTCAATACTTCTTACCTGGACTATGCAGCCCCTTCCTCTCTTGCTTCCTTCCATCGGATCTACCTACTGAAGCCAGCATGATCCTAAAAAAGAAAAATTGAATAATTCCTCTGCTTAAAACTATTCCATTGTTTCCTGTTGACCTTAGAATAATATCCAAATTTATTTATAGGCTCTTCGCCATCTGGCTCCTGTTTACACTTCATGCCTCATTTTTGCTGTTTATCCCTCAATGTGCCATGCTTATTCTCAAAACAGATCATCGAGATTTTGCTAAAGAAAGTGGCTTCCATAGTTCCATGTACTTCCTTTTTTGTGTCACTCTTGTTATGGGCTGTTTGCTTCTCTGTTTCGGCTATTTGCCTTGTCCCCACCTGGGTCTGAGGGTGAAGATCCCATCTGACTCCTCTTCTGTATCCCTCTGGGGCCAAGCACAGCAACTGGCACCCAGGATGCTCAGTAACAGTTAAATCGATGAATGAATGCTAGGCTCTGAGGACAAAGAGAAGCTGCACACAAATTTCCTAGTCTATGTGAAGAACAGATACATTGAATTAATAAATTGATCCAACAGCAAATGCGGGACTAGGACAGTGGATTTGTTGGCTTAAAAGTTCCACTAGGAGGCACTGTGGCAATACTTCAGCGTCTCTCTTTAAAAATCCTGTCATTTCCATGGAATGACCCTACTTACTTTGAATGGAAATGCGATTTTTCAAAGGCGGTGGTGGTTTTCTTTTGTGTTTTAATAAGCTCCCCATTCAGTCCACTGGAGAGAGCTGTATCTGAGCCACCTGTCAGTCTGAAGGACTTAGTAACCCCTGCTGGTGCCCACTTTATGCTTGTAGTGGTTCTTCAACTTGGAATCACCATAACAGCTTTCACAAACATGATTTAATTTATTTTCCACATCAGCTGTTGGGAACCAGGATAGAAATTGTTATTATTTCCATCTTAAAAATGATATTTCTAGAATGCTAAGTAATTTTTCCAAGGAATCACAGCTGGTACCTACCAAAGCAGGGACTTGAATCTGGGTCTTTCAAATCCAAATGTATTTGTTCACTAAAAATATATTGAGTTCCAGGCTCATAAAAGATGATATAAGATGATAGGGCTGGGCATGGTAGCTCACACCTGTAATCCCAGCACTTTGGGAGGCCAAGGTGGGCGGTTGAGTTGAGGAGTTCAAGACCAGCCTGGGCAACACAGTGAAACCCAGTTTCTAGTAAAATACAAAAAATTTAGCTGGGCGTGCACCTGTAGTCCCAGCTACTTGGGAGGCCCAGGCAGAAGAATTGCTTGAATCCTGGAGGTGGATATGACAATGAGCCGAGATCGTGCCACTGTATTCCAACCTGGGTGACAGAGTCTTACTCTCTGTCTCAAACTAAAAAAAAAAAAAAAAAAAAAAAAAAAAAAAAAAAAAAAAAAGATAGAGATGCAAAGACATGCCCCCCAAACTTAATATCTTAGAAGCAGAGACTGTCAAAGCAGAAAGGATCACCTAATGAAGTGTACTCAACCCGGACATGTGTAAGAATCACTGCAAGAGCCTATTAAAAATGCACATTCCTGGACTTTTGGACTTTGCCTGTCCTCTACCCTCTTACAGTCCAATTCAATAAATCTGAGTGAACCTTGGAATCTGAATTTTTCATAAGAACATCCACATTTGCCTGAATAATTCTGATGCAGATAGACCATGGACCACACCGAGAAACACTGATCTATTGGTTTCATCCTTTCATCTGGAGAAACTGAGTTGATGTGAGTCCCCTGGAACTACTCCTTGGAAGTAGAAGGGAGGCTGACCCAGGAACTGATAATGAGCAATGTGAAGTAATGATGCAATGGAAAGAGACTGAGAGCTGGGGGCCCTGGGTTCAATTTCAGGCTTTACCATCTTGTAGCTGAGTCACTTCATTTCCATAAACTGATTTTCTCAACTGTAAAATACAGGACAATACATACTTCATAGGCTTATTGTGAGGACAGGCAATTCAAAAGATTTGGCAGAGGACTGGCACTAGAGACACTTGATAAAGAGATTAACAGGATTGTTTTAAATGACTTTCTACTTCATTTATCTATTCTCTTACTTTCATTTTTATTTTCTTGAGACAGAGTCTCACTATCTTGTGCAGGCTATAGTGCAGTGGCACAATTATGGCTCACTGTAGCCTTGATTTCCTGACCTCCCAAAGCCCAAGAGATCCTCTTGCCTCAGCCTCCCAAGTAGCTCTGACCACAGGCATGCACCACTACAGCCAGCTAATTTTTAAAAATTTTGTCTCCCTATGTTGCCCAAGCTTGTCTTGAACCCCTGGGCCTCCCAAAGTGCTAGGATTACAGGCATGAGCCTCCATGCCCAGCCTATTCTATACTTTTAAACAAGTACCTGCAATTGCCAGGCACTCAGCTAGGAACCGTCTCACCTACATGAAGTATATAATCTAGTGTAGAAGATAGCCATTAATTATTCAAATAAGAAGTAATAATAATAGTTGTTATTATTATTATCATTATTATTCTGAGACAAGCTCTCACTCTGTCACCCAGGCTAGAGTGCAGTGGCTCACTGTAGCCTCAACCTCCTGGGCTCAAGAGATCCTTCCACCTCAGCCTCCTAGCTGGGACTACAGACATACATCACCACAACCAGATAATTTTTAATTTTTCTGTTCTGGAGACAGGGTCTCACTGCTGCCCAGGCTGGTCTGAAATTTCTGGCCTCAAGCGATCCTCCTGCCTCACCTTCCCAAAGTGCTGGGTTTACAGGCGTGAGCCACTGTGCCTGGCCCAAATAACAAATTATAATTGTTAGAAATGCTACCAAGGGAAAATATAGAGTGTGTTTTGAATAATATGAGGACTCGAACCTAGTCTGCAGACAAATAAAATGTTCTTGAGGAAATGACTCAAAGGATGAGTAGGATTTAGTCTGTCAGAAATTCCACATGAATCAGGAAAGAGCTTGGCAACAGGAAGAAATGAAAAGACCAAAAGCCAGCATGGCTGGAGTGGAGCGAGCAGAGGAGAATGGCACAAGCTGAAGCCGAGGGTGGTTATTATTTCCAGAAAAGCCTTTCTCTTTTTCTGACTTGGTAATTATTTGAAAATCTGTATCTTTTCTTCAATCCTTTTATTATCTGTCAATTTTCTTTCCATTTTAATAGTCAAAAGTCTTATTATAGTAACATTTCCTCAAAGCTAATATACATTTTTCACTATTTTGACATTCAGAAATAGGGATGGTCTAATAATACAGGTTTAAACAAAAACTTGCTATTTAGCAAGTTGTTTCAAGCAGGAATGTAAGTTGAGCCCTCACAAACTTACCAGTGCTTGGAAATACCTATTATAATATCATCATGTAATTATTTACACTTGTAGCATAATTTCATTAAATTTTAGTTTGTTTTAGTTAAACTTGGAACACTGCTATTACTTAAAGTGACTTCAAAAATTCCTCTCTGATCCAGAAGTAAAACAAAATATTATAGTTAGGAGGTTCTGATTTTGGGGAAGATGAAACAGATACATTCTACCCTTGCAATTGTAAAACCTGGACAGAATGCACAGGGCAGGCATTTGAGGACTCCATCTTCCTGCTACTTGGCCCTGGATACATGCAGTCATGATAAGTACATAGCAGAATGGGGTAGGTGAAACCTCAGGTTTTCGGTGAAAGGACCTAAAAGGGGAGCCTCAGGAGACTGGAACGTATCAAACATCATAGAGACAAGCTCAGGAGAGCAATGCCATAATTCCTAGGTTCACCCCTGAGCAGTGCATGCATGGATCTGATGCTAAATAGTATACCATAGGCTTGCGTACTGCGATATGGGATAAAGGGATAAACCACTATCCAGATCCAAAACTGTCCACTGATTATGAACAACTGGAAGAGGTCTGAATAGCATTGCAAAGGCTTTGAAAATTGAACTGACATTGGAACCACAGCCACAAAGACAGGTCATGATTTGTGGCTTTAATCCAGCTGGGTCATTTGCAAGCTAAAATGAAAGTATGAATGTTCTCCATACAATTTAAACAAGATCTAGACATGTATAATATTCAAAATGTTTAGTATTTAATCCAAAATTACTCAGCATACAAAGAAACAGGAAAATCTCAATCTGCAGGAGAAAAAACAGTCAACAGATGCCAATGAAAAGAGAACATAAATGTTGAAATTGTTAAAGACTTTAAACTAGGCATTATAAAATGCTTCAAGAAGTAAAGGTGAACACTCTTGAAATGAATGGAAAGTATCAACAAACAAATAGAAGACATAAAGAGAAACCAAATGGAAATGTTAGAGCTGAAAGTATAATAACCAAAATAAAAAATTCATTAATGGACTTAATACAGAATACAGATGACATAGGAAAGAGTCACTGAACTTGAAAATAGACCCATAGAAATTATCTAATCCAAATAAGAGAAAAAGATTTTTTTTTTAATGAGCATGGCAACATACGGTGGCTCATGCCTGTAATCCCAACATTTTAGGAGGCCAAGGTGGGAGGATTGCTTGAACCCAGGAGTTCAAGACCAGCCTGGGCAACATAGTAAGACCCTGTGTCTAAAAAAACAGAAAATTAGTTGGGTGTGGTGGCATGTGCCTAAGGGTCTAGCTACTCAGGAGGCTTTGCCAGAGCCCAGAGATCAAGGCTGCAGTGAACCATGATTGCACCATTGGGACTCTAGCCTGAGCAACAGAGTGAGACCTTGTAGAAAGAAAAGAGAGAGAGAGAGAGAGAGAGAGAGAGAGAGAGAAGGAAAGAAGGAAGGAAGGAAGGAAGGAGAAAAGAAAAAAAGAAAAAGTCAATTCAGAATTTTACATTCAGTGAAAATATATTTCAGATAAAAGTAAAATAGCTACATTCTCAGATGAAAGAAAATTAAGAGAATTCACTGCCAGCAGACTTGCCCTAAAAGAATTTCTGAAGATACTGACTCAGCAATTTTAAAAAAACTTCCCACAAAAAAAAAAAAAAACCCAGGCTTAAATGATTTTCATGGTGTATTCTTCCAAATATTTAACAAAAAATTAACTCCAATCCTTTACAAACTC